ATACTTTGTCATTTTTTTGGTTAATCATCTCATTTGATTCCACTTTATTTGTATTTGATTCACTATTTTTCCTTTCTTCCTGTGATAAAAACTTAGATCATTGAGTTTTTTTTTCCACTTCTGCCTACTCAAATACACTTGTATGCAGTTAATACTATAAATTTCTCTGTAACCATATGTTTAGCTCCATTGAGTAGAATTGTATATTTTTTCAGTTAAAATTTTTTTATAATTTTTGGTTTGATTTTTTTTCCTTGATCAATGATTGTTAGAAAATGTGTTGCTTAATTTCAAACATTTGGGGATTTGCTAATTATCTTTGTGTCATTAATTTCTCATTTAATTCCACTGTGGTTAGCACATTCTCTGTGATTCCAATCCATTAATATTTGTGACTCATTATATAGTCTATTTTTGTAAAGTGTTCCATGGGCAATTATCAGAAGAAAATAAATATTTTGCAGTTGTTGCTGCAGTGTTTTAGAACCAAATAAGTTACCAGAGTGAGTTCTTCAAATCTTGTAAACCCTTATGGATTTTCACTATCTAGTTATTGTACTGAATATTGGGAGAGTAGTAATAATGTCTTCTATGATTGTGCATGTCTGTTTCTCTTTTTTAGGTTTGTCAGTGTTCACTTTCTTTGTCTTAAGATTATGTTATTAAGGCTGTACAAATTTAGTATTTTGATATTTTATTGTTGAATATACTTTTAAAATATTCTGAGATAGTTTCTTTTAAAACTTTAAAAAAAATTTTGAGAGGGAGATAAATAGAGTCAAATAGACTACTCTCATTGGCTGGTTCATTCCCCAAATGCTCTCAGTGGAGCCAGGAATCCAGTCTAGGTCTTCCACATGGGTGCCAGGGACCCAACTTTCTTGGGTCATCATTGCTGCCTTCCAGGGTTCAAATTAGCAGGAATCTGGAGTTAGGAGAAGAACTGGGCATTAAAACCAGGTACTCTGATATGGGAAGTGGGTGTCTTAACTGGCATATAAACTATTAGACCTAACACTTGCCCCTGACATTTTATTCTAGTGGTGGTTCTTTCCATAAAGATTTTTAAGTATGTGTTATTAAGTGATGGAGAGGGAGAGACACAGAGAAAGAGATCTTAAATCCACTGATTCACTCCCCAAATGACCACAACCACTGTGGCTCCACCAGGCCAAAGCCAGGAGCCAGGAACTCCATCTGGGTTTCCCACATGGATGGCAGGAGTCCCAATACTTGGGCCAGTTTCTGCTTTTCCTGGCACTTAGCAGGGAGCTGGATCAGAAGTGGAGCAGCAGGGACTTAAACTGGGATGACTACATCACAGATGATGGCTTAACCCGTTCTGACAGAACTTTGACCCCTATTTTATATATATATATATATATATTTTTTTTTTTTTTTTGACAGGCAGAGTGGACAGTGAGAGAGGTTGGTTCACCCTCCAATGGCTGCCACGGTCGGCACGCTACGGCCGGCGTACCGTGCTTATCTGATGGCAGGAGCCAGGTACTTCTCCTGGTCTCCCATGGGGTGCAGGGCCCAAGTACTTGGGCCATCCTCCACTGCACTCCCTGCACTGCTTGCAGTGGCTCTGGGCTGGGGTGGGGGAAGGCTGGAGTCAAGGTCTGGGAACTCAATCTAGGTCTCCTGTGAGGATGGTAAGAGTAAGAACAGTTACTTGAGCATGCTCCTTTTTAGGATCTGCATTCTCAGGAAGCTGGAGTCAGGAACTTAGGCCAGGTATCAAATCCAGGCACTCTGAGATGGGTTGCAGGTATCTTAACTGATGTCTTACCTCCTTGGCCAAATTCCCTCCTGAAGAATGTATTTTTACGTGGTAGAATTGTATTTCAAGAAGGGAAAAGAATAAACATAAAAAAAATTGTTTATGATAACTTCAAGGAGGACATATTTGTTAAAAACAATCGGCATTCATGTTTTATCTTTTGCAAGATATATATATATATATATATATATGTATGTTCTTGTCACAACAACTCTGATGAGGAAGCCATCTTCTAACAGATGAGTAACAAGTGTTGAACTTCAGTGGGACTTTCAGCATGAGCCATAGGTCTCAAAATCCCATGTTCTTCTTTTTTTTTTTTTTTTTTTTTTTTGACAGGCAGAGTGGATAGAGAGAGAGAGACAGAGAGAAAGGTCTTCCTTTGCCGTTGGTTCACCCTCCAATGGCCCCCCCGGGCAGCGCGCTGCGGCAGGTGCACCGCGCTGATCCAAAGGCAGGAGCCAGGTGCTTCTCCTGGTATCCCGTGGGGTGCAGGGCCCAAGCACTTGGGCCATCCTCCACTGCACTCCCTGGCCACAGCAGAGAGCTGGCCTAGAAGAGGGACAACCGGGAAAGAATCCGGCACCCCAACCGGGACTAGAACCCAGTGTGCTGGCGCTGCTAGGTGGAGGATTAGCCTATTGAGCCGCGGCGCCGGCCCCCATGTTCTTTTGAAGAAATTATTTTATTTGAAAGACACATACTCGGATGAATAGACAGAGATCTCATATCTGCTGGTTCACTGGACTAGGGCTGGGAAATCAATCCTGATATTCCATGTGGATGGCAGGGATCTAACTGATTTGAGCCTTCACCTGCTACCTCCTAGGGTCCACATTTGCAAGAAGCTGTACTTGGGAGTGGAGCAGAGACTTGTTACTCAGGCATTTCCTGTATGGGTTGTGGGTGGGTGTTCCAAGCAGCATTAGTGTCTTAACCTCAAACACTTGCCCTCAAATTCCATACTCTAGTGTGGGAAGCTGCCTTTTTTGTTAATATTTGGTTAGCATTCTGCTAACACTGACTTCTTGAATTTGATTCAGGTCTTTTAACTTCTCCCTGGGAAAATCTGATTTGTGACCATAGACTTCAAAACCGTGGGTAGCCATCTTGAAAACATAGCATTGTTTCATAGGTCAGAGGGTGACAGAAGTGTAGATGTCATTTGCTTATTGTTCAAGTAGATCCTTTGCGGGTGGGAACATTGAATGCTCATAATGCAAGTGAAGAGGCTGTGTACTAGTGGTTAAGGGCAAGGCTCTGGCATACTATTTCTCAGTTTTGAATCCTAGCTCTCCCAGATGATACATTGTGGTAAGTTACTTGACCTTTCTTGCCTCAGATTCTTCATTGTAAAATGAGAAAAGTATATATTCTTATGAGGATTTAATAATTGTATGCAGGTAAGGTGCTTAGAATAGTACCTGGGATGTAGTCAGTGCTTAGTAGGTATTGTTTTGATTGTAGACCCTAGTCATTCCTGTGCCAGCTGAATAATGCATGAAGAAATTGCTGCATCTTTAAAATTAATGTAATAATAAAAATAATAATTGTGACATTCCATTAAAGAATAGTAACAGTAAGTATTTAGTATTTTGACTTTAAGAAACTGGAAACATAAATTAGGCTCACATGTTTGTAATTAAAATGACATTTAGCATCTTTATAATGATTTCTCTATGAGCAAGACAGTGTTCTAAGCACTTCAAATAAATAAGTTCATTTAATCTTCAATATATTTTCCAGATAATGAAACTGAGGTACAGATAATGAAACTGAGGCACAGTGTCATTGGATTAATAAATGGCAAATGGGATTTAAATTCATGTCTGAGGGCTCCAGAGTTATTGGTCATAACCACCTTGCTGTACTGCCTGTAGTTAGCTATTGCATTCCTGATATGTTGCTAAACTAAGTAGATAGGCAAAAAAAGGAATGAATAAACTATTATAATTTTCACAAATAACTAAAGATATTGTGGGGAGCAACTGGGAGCAACTCGGACTAGACTAAGTTACTGGAATTAAGACTTATTCTATGCATCTGCTCTCCCACAATATGGCGCTGGGAGAGGAGGAAACAGCTTCTACGCAGCTGCTTCCAGTTCAACCAATAAACTGTAGGACCTGCTCCTGATTGGAGGAGAGCAGCGTACTCGGCGTGTGGGTAGCAGAGCACGGATTGGTGGAGAGGACTATAAAGGAGGAGAGAGACAACATGCACCAGGAACATCTAAGGGGAACATCTAAGGTGAACACCTGTGCAGCCCCCGAGAGAGCCAGCCGGCGGTGTGCCGCTCCCCCGCGGAAGTGGGGAATGTGGCAGGGGGAACCGCCCTTCCACGGAGGTGGAAGGGACGGTAGCCAACCCGGGAAGGACCAGCAGCCAACCCGGGAAGGACCAGCAGCCAACCCGGGAAGAACCAGCAGCAAACCCGGGGAGGGCCGAGCAGATGAAAGAACAACGCAGGGTCCTGTGTCGTTCCTCCACGAAGAAGGGGAGCGACAGATATGATGGAAATAGAATTTTTTCTTTGGTTTATAAGAATAATTTTATATGGAAGTAAAATAAGTATAAAGTGATTGTGTTGAAATTTGTGTTTTCATTTCTAAATTCTTTAATAATGGAAGCAGTCAGAAAACATGTAAAATTTGTGACTAAAGTATACAGGTACAATATATAAAAAATTTTTTTTATTTGAAGGAAAGGCAGAGATTTCCACCTACTGGTTTACTCCTCAAATGCTGGCAAAAGCCAATAGCCAGGAACTCAATCCAGGTCTGTTGCATAGAGGGCAAGGACCCAAAAACTTGAACCATCACTTGTTTGCCAAGGTGTATATTACCAGGATGTTGGAAATGAGAGCCCATCCACTACTGGAATCGTGGTACTCTAACTTGGAATGTGAACGTCTTAATTGCTAGTCCAAATGCCTACCCCCAGTTATATAAATCTTTAATTAGGTGAAGAATTATTTATATTTAGGTTGGTCAGCTTTAATTTGTCAGGTAATTATCCTATCCTATTAAGCCTCCTTCTGAACTTGCCTCACAATTGTATCCTGCTAATTTGATTCACATTTTGATAATGTGATAGTCTTTTTGGAAGATCTCTCTCTTTCTCTGTCCCTCTTTCATTAAATAAGAAAATAAGTCTTAAAACAGTGAAAAATCTTAAGCACATACTAACTTTATTTAATGTTTTATGTTTTAAGGAACTGAAATTACCATTCACATTTTTAAGTGGACATATTCATGAATTGAGGATTCATGTACCATGGACAAAACTGGGTTCAGAACCAGTGGTAATTACCATCAATACAATGGAATGCATTTTGAAACTTAAGGATGGAATGCAGGTAAGAAATCATTGAACCCAGTTATTTCTGTTAACTAATCTTAATGGTTATTAGTATTTGATGTTTCTTTAAATTTTGGAATATGTCAGCCATGACATAAATAAAACTTAGCTTATGCACTTATTATATTTTTCTTTTTAAAGGTTAATTAGTTTGAAAGTCATAGTTACAGAGGGAGAGAAAGAGGAATTTTCCATCCACTTTCTCACTCTCCAGATGGCCAAAGGGGCCAGGGCTGAACCAGGAGCCAGCAGCTTCATATGGGTCTCTCATATCGGTAGTAGGAGCCCAAACACTTGAGTCATCTTCTGCTTTTCCGAGGCCAATTAGCAGGAAGCTGGATCAGAAGTAGAGCAGCAGGGACAGGAACCAGTGCCCATACTGGATGCTGGTGTTGGAGTCGATCATTTAACTTCCTATGCCACAACGCCAGCCGCATGCTAACTGTTTTTTACATGCCCATTTCGTAGTAACATAACCATTTTCAAAAGGGTGTTCTTAGATTTATATAAAACACCTAAAGGATCTTTTCAGATTACTTATACTTAATTGGTTATAGCCTTACTGGGGATCAATTAGATTGCTTATTAATTATAGAAGTGGGGACTGATTGAGTCCAATTTTTGAGAGTTTTGAATTTTTGCAAAGTAATTTATTTATATGATACATCTACGTAAGAAAAAATTTTAGGGAAAATGAACATGTATTTACCTTTATTTCAAATTTCATTGGCGCTGTTGAAGTTTTACTATCAGAAAGTGATATTATCCAAAAAATTTTTATCTATTTCTTTTCTGGTCCATTTTACATTTCTTGTTAGTGGTTTTGGCAGATGTGTAATATAGGTTCTAAGGAGCTTATACCAAAATTTTTCTAATCTAGAGAGCAAGTAGGTCAGGACAGCAGCATTTTGTGAAGACATTTTTATTTTCATGTTGCAGAAAAGTAATGCATCTTTCATTCATTTTTATTACTTTAGCACACATTAAAATTTAACTGAGTTTTAAGGAAAGTGTCTAGAATTAAGTGAATTGATAAATATTGTTAAAATGACTTTTCATAAGAACCTGAAAGCAGTGTTAGTAAATATAATTTACTAAATATAACTTCAGTTGCTATGAAATTAAGGTTATTTATGAACTGCTAAAATTATTTCCTATTTTAAGTACCTTCTTTTTCCTGTTTATGAAATCTTTGTTGGGAAACTTGTACAAATATTATCCAATTTAACATAACTAATGTAGTTCCTGGAAGTAAATAGACCAATGTTATATTTCCTTGGAAATTTATTTTGTGAACTTTGAATATTTCAGAGATTTTGAAATCTAGAGATAGTTATATTACAAAATTTTATTTTACATTTGTATTTGGTAATACTTAAGTGGTTCTTAATCATTTGTTACTAGATTTTTTTTTTAAGAGTCTGGATTTGGTTATACCACCCATGTAGTGTTCCATATTAAAAGAAAAGAAAATCCAGACACTAAGTATTATTTCAGTGGAAATGTGAAAGTTTCAAGGCCAGATGTCCCATAAGAAACACATTTTAAAAGAGGCAAATTACAACTAATTATAGAGGCTGCAGAGAAAGATTTGTAACACATGACTTTAGTGCAACCTAGAACTAATATTTGATATTGGGCCATGCAGATGGCTACTGCAGGAATGATCAGATTTCCTACTTATATGGCATTTGAGACTTAAATTTTGTGGTGTGTACAGCAAAAGGTCAAGTGTCATGAATGTAAACCACTCTCCAAACAAGTATTTTTTTTACAGATGTTTAAAATTTTGGTGTAGAAAGGTGTTTTGAAAATTGCAGTTGACATTTGGACAAATTATTTAGTAGTTTATACCCCTGGAGAGTAATACTTGTACTCATAGTAGTGATTGGAATGAAATTCTGAGTAAAACATTATGTATGAAACATTTAAAATAGTTTATTTTCCAATTTTAAGCTTTGATTAGTATGTAATTGTTCAATTATACATGTATTAGTAAAACTGAGTAACTCCAAATTTAAATTATTTCAAGTTATTGCATTATAGAATCACAGTGAAACAAAGACTTACTTTCTAAATGAAACTGGGATGGATGATAGAGAAAGTGCCTTTTAAAGTTATATGTAGCTGAAGATATGAATATAAAAAAAACTGTTACTACTTGTATATGGGAATATATTAGAAATAATGAGAAGATAGAAATATGAGGCTTAGGGGATGGAGCTGTGGCGTAAGCGGTAAAGCCACCACCTGCAGCACTGGCATCTCATATGGACACTGGTTCAATTGCTAGATGCTTCTCTTCTTTTTTTTTTTTTTTTTTTGACAAGCAGAGTGGACAGTGAGAGAGAGAGACAGAGAGAAAGGTCTTCCTTTGCCGTTGGTTCACCCTCCGTGGCTCACTAGGCTAATCCTCTGCCTTGCGGCGCCGGCACACTAGGTTCTAGTCCCGGTCGGGGCACTGGATTCTGTCCTGGTTGCCCCTCTTCCAGGCCAGCTCTCTGCTGTGGCCAGGGAGTGCAGTGGAGGATGGCCCAAGTCCTTGGGCCCTGCACCCCATGGGAGACCAGGATAAGTACCTGGCTCCTGCCTTTGGATCAGCGCGGTGCGCCGGCTGCAACACGCCGGCTGCGGCGGCCATTGGAGGATGCTTCACTTCTGATCCAGCTCCCTGCTAATGTGCTGGGGAAAACAGCAGAAGTACTAAGGCCATTGCACCCATGTGGGGGACCCGGAAGAAGCTTCTGGCTCCTGGCTTCAAATTGGCCCAGCTCGAGTCCTTGAGGCCATTTGGGGAATGAACTAGTAGATGGAAGTTCTCTCTGTCTCTGCCCCTCTTTCTCTCTGTAACTCTGCCTTTCAAATAAAATAAATATATCTTAAAAAAAAAAAAAGACATGAGGTTTAGTTCAGATAAGATCATTCCAGAAGTACAGAATTAAGTGCCTTGATAGGGAGTCATATCTAGTTTGTAAGGCTTAATTTAATTCTGTTAGTATTGTTGATTGTTTTATGAACTGGAAAGCATTGCTAAGACATTTATATTCTTAGTAAAAACCACTCAGAAAAAGATGTTTGATTGTGACTTTGTCATCACTTTTGATGACACTTTGATGGTTTTTCATCAGTTTTAATTATAAGGATTTTTAGAATTGGAGTGCTGGTGAAAAAGTTGTGGTGTTTGGAATAACGGCCACCTTGATGTCCATTATGAATTCTTTTTTTAATTGCTCAAAAGCTTCATTGTTTTTTTATTTTGCCTTCTGACTCTGTGCTTCTACTGTCAACACTTTCACAATGATTTTTTGCTCTGTGATAAGGAAAGTGCTTTATTCCATCACAGATAGATTTAGCACTCATGGAACCATCATAGGTCCTGCTGACATGTTTTTTTGTTATAGGCAATCTCATCAGCACTTTAGTTCTCACAGCATGAATCCCTGGAAGTCTGCCCAAGCACATGCCTCATACAGAGTTTTGGTGCCTTCCCAACATTCTTAGTATGGTGGTAAACAATTCTGTTACCAGGAGTTTGGACAGTCTAGTTTTGTTGGAGGCTGTATTGTAGGTATTGTTTGACATACTACAATATGTCAAATGCTGGACCACTCTGACCATCTCTAAACACTGTTCTGGAAGAGATACTCTGAATTATTTTTGGAGTTGAAACTTTACTCATAAAATATTTAACTGTATGCTCAGAGTGTAATATGTGTCAATCATGTCCCTACCTTTAGATCATGTGGACTTAATAGTTGTGAACTGTTTTTCTCTTTTGTGGACTTCAGATACACAGATTGATTCATGAACACATTATGCTATGGTAATCTAATCTAAAGAGCTACAACGTTACTGGCAACTTAGATTTGACTATGTACTTTTCTTTTTTGTCATCTTGCCTGTACAGCTTCTGTGGATTTTATCTGCAAAAAGGGCAGAATGCTATGCAGTTGTTTATTCTGTGATTGATATGATTTCTTTGTGCATTGTATTAGATCTTGTGAAAAATATTTCTACCTACAGAGAACTGTAAACTTTTGAGATTTACTTATTTATTTCAGAGGCAGAGTTATAGACAGAGCTATAGAGAGAGGTCTTCTATCTCCTGGTTCACTCCCCAGATTGCTGCAATGGCCAGAGCTGGGCTGATCCAAAGCTAGGAATCAGGAGCTTCTTCTGGGTCTCCCATGTAGGTGCAGGAGTCCAAGCACTTGGGCCATCTTCTACTACTTTCCCAGGCTGTTAGCAGGGACCTGGATTGGAAGTGGAGCAGCCGAGTCCTGAACGGTGCGCATATGGGATGCTGGCACTATAGGCAGAGACTTTACCTACTACGCCACAGCACTGGCCTCCTAAATTTTTTTTTAAAGTGTTTATATATTCTGGTTTTGATGTTTCTTGGGAAGTAAATGTTTTAAGATATTTTAACTGAATAAATGCAATTGTTTGTAAGACTGTTTATGGAAATAATATGTGTTCATGAAAAATTTTTATAAAAAGCTTTGAACCAAAACTTCAATTTTATAAAATACCACTAAGAACTTCAGTTAAAGAACTAAGATTTTTGTTAATGTATATACTTTTAAACCCTAGTTAATGCCTAAAGTTAAAGGACAATTTTGCCTGCATTCTTTCCTTGCATCTTAGGTGCTATGAAAATCCTTCGCTGCCTTCTCTAAAAAAGAATAGAGAAGCTTGAATAGTGAAGCTGTGTTACAGCCCTACTTTGCTAGAAGTATTGGTAGGGCAATTTACAATGTTTTCATGGCTTAAAAAATAAAGGACATTTAAGCTTCTTAAAGAAAGTTGGGTTCATTTGATTTATTATCAGAAGGGGCTCAGAAATGCTGATTTAGGCTGTGGAATTTATTTTACTTTTATTGGTTCTTTCCTTTTCACTGCTGTTGGTTAATAATGAATGTGATGATAACTTAGTCCATATTCAGTGTATAGCTTCCTTTTCTCAAAACTAGGAAATAAGTGTGTTTCCTATAAATT